GAAATCGTTGATGCTGCTTCGTTTTTATTAGAAAGGGTGGGTGATGTTGGAAGTGCTCTTCTGCTTACCCTCTCTGGACTCAATGATAAATACATCATGCTTGGTACGGCAGTGGGAAATACAATTTCAGACATGGATGTAGGCAAATATATACATAAGGATTGCTTTGCTGCTGCTTTTGGGTTGAAAGAGGTGGTTAGATTTTGTATTTCTATATAGAAATGTTCTTAATGTTGTTTATTGCATCAGATAATAATGTGATATCTATTTCCTCGCAGGTACAAGACATTAAAAAAGTACTACATTCATGTATTGGCCTTTGCCAACGCAACTCACCTCGTTTGAATCCGGAAGAGTCTGAATCGCTTTGGTTCCATGTGCTAGACTCGTAAGTTCTGTATCCTTTTGTCTATTAACAGCTCATAATTGTTTGGTTCCTTGGATGCTTTTTTTCCCTTGAAAGTTGATTGTTGTGGAAGTCATTTTGTCCTTCTTTCTGTTGACATGACTGAACAGTACAGCAAGTAAGATTAGATAATTTTTTATTATCACACGACGAAAATAATTACATGGCACTAAATAAGTGTATAGTGCAACTTATATTCCTGCATCTAGGTCTATTTCCAATTTGCTTCAGTATCTCAGTAAACATTACTACGTATAAGAAAAGATAAGAATTTTCCCTCTGGATTTTAATTATTCCCTTGCCAGATGGAGCAAAAAAAAAATACATTAGGTGATGTATGTAAATGACTAAATGGTTTTAAAATAAGTGAATTGGGACATCCCAAACAACACTTGTCAAAATGCGATGGGTATGGAAAGTTTAGCCATTGCAGGGATAGTATAATTCATCTAAAATTCAGATCTGTGAAAAGATATTGAGAGCAAGTTGCAAACAATTAACATATATCAACAGTCAAAAGCAATAGCATGTTATGCCTCAGTTGAGTAAGAATTGGATCTGAATTTTGTTTGCATGAATTAATAGATTTGGAGAAAGAGGATGAAGAGAGAAATTTACAGATTATGTTGTATGGTGGAGCTTGGTGGACTGGGAGGCTGAGGAAAGAGATGGTGCACTTAGAAGTATCTATTATTTTGGATTTTTTTTTTTTTTTTTTTTTTGTTTTTTTTTGGGGGGGGGGTGCGTTGAGTGGTAGATGGGTTTGTTGAGAAGAAAAATGAGATAATTATTGCGATTAGTAATTGTGATAAGCAATTGATGGTACAAATGCGTTTCTTTTTTTTAGGGGAGATGATAATATAGAAAAATACTTTAAGATCTTAAAAAAAAAAAAATTGAAAATATGATCCTTATATTTCTGAAGAAGCTTCACATGCTATCTGCTAGGTGGTAACTATTTATATTTGCTCTCAGGTTTTGTAGACCCTTACTTATTTCTCAAGGTAACTCTGAAAATGGCATTGTAACTCAGTCTTCAAACTTTAAAGATGACTTGGAGGCCAATTCCGTCTCATGGACGATTTACAGGACTCAGAAATGTGCTCCTGTTCTGAAGAGAATATTTTCTGAATTTGTTAAGGAAATTGTTGAGGGGATGATAGGATATGTTCGCCTTCCATCTATCATGGCAAAACTCCTGTCAGATAATGGAAGCCAGGAATTTGGTGATTTTAAGCTGACCATATTAGGAATGCTGGGAACATACAGCTTTGAGAGGAGGATTCTGGTAAGTACATTTTTCCATTTGAAGTATAATTCTCGGTTGTTAAATTCTTATTTATGTGGCTGTATTAAAGACATTTACTTTAAAATTATTGAAACTAGTAAGAGTATATAGAATTTTTAACTGTAAGGCATAAATTTTGTGACTTTTGTGACTATTAACGATTGATTCTTTGAGTTTCAGGTGTTGAATTGTATGTTAATAAACCCTCATCGTTTTTTAGGTGGCCTAGTAGATAAGGATTCATTTTTACTACTGACCTATGGGGATCTAGCACCTCGAGTGGAGATAGCTAGCTCACTTACATCTCTGTCGGCTTTAAACATCCATTTTTTTCTTTTCTTTTTTTTTTTAAAAAAAAAAATGTATAAGGACACTAAATGTAATTCTATCACAGCATCACCTGTGCGGCTGTGCCTGCTGTCCTTGTTTAAACTAGCTTCAAAAGTGTGAACTTCTGGGGCCATTATGCATTACCTTTTTTTTTTTTTTTTTTTTTTTTTGGGGGGGGGGGGTGGGTGGTTTAAACATGTGACTTTTTCATTATGATTCCAATACTGACTTCTCTTTGAATTCACTTTTCACCAATATTTATAATGCTTTCAGGATACCGCCAAATGCTTGATAGAGGATGATACATTCTATACCATGAGTTTACTCAAGAAAGGTGCTTCAAAGGGTTATGCCCCTCGAAGTCTTCAGTGCTGTATATGTAATTGCTCCTTCAAGAGCTCTTCAAATTTTGGAATCCGGGTGTTCAATTGTGGTCATGCAACCCATATACAATGTGATGTTCAGGAGAATGCTACAAGTAGTCAAAGTTCCTCTGGTGGATGTCCAATATGTGTGCATAAAAAAAAGATTCGGAAAGCAAAAGGTAAGATGGCAGAACTAGGTTTAGTGAGTGCTTCACCGTCTACTTCCCGACGAGCGCAGAGCACAAGTATTCTTCACCCTCATGAACTGGATGTATTTGAAAACTCCACTGGCCCTCAAACTTCAAGAGTACGTATTTGTGTATTTTCTACCTCTTTAAGTTTATTCTGTTCTATTTCTATATGATAAGCTATCAAAATTTATTTGGAGCTATTTTTTGTGACCAGTTGGCAGTTGTCATGAATCTGACCTTGCAATTGCACAATAAGAACCACAATAAATCAAAGTTCCCGTAACAATTACACCTGTCATGTAATTGGTCCTGTGCCCATGCAAGGATCATTAATAAACCTCACTTTAGAGTTCCACAATCATTTAACTTGTGTTTTTTTCTGGCATGAAATATAATGCCTTCAAAAAATTCATTATATATTTACCTATTTGAGACTATATATCTTGAACAAACAAATTCATACCCTTTTTTTAAGGGAAAGGGTGTGGGTGTGTTGGGGGGGGGGGTGTACTTAGTTTAATTCCTATCAGGCTATAGTTAGGTGATCAAACAGAATTTACTGCTACAGTACTCATCCTCACATAAATCATTCTCATCCATGTTTCTGTTACCTCTTAATCCATTGCATTTCAAGAATTACATCCTCTTCTTATCTAGAAGATAGCCCCTCCCAAGATTTCCAATCCCAGCTACACCTTTAATAGCTGTTATGATCCTTCTCAACTCATCTTCTCTAGAATCTCTACAACATAATTACTTTATAACCTCAAAGAATTTATTACTCATTTACATTTACACTTAAATCATTCTCATCTAGGTTTATGTTACCTCTATTCCCTAAGCATTGTCTATAACAGTGTGTTTGGTATAGTAAATAGATTATCTGTTTAGCATTGATCTTGCTTATTTTGATTCGTTCACCGGCACTCCAAAATTATCTTATCCTGTCTTGCTATACTACAGTTTGAAATCCTGAATAGGCTTCAGAAGAACCAGAGATTGGTTACTTATGATACCATGCCCCAGCTGAGGTTAGCACCTCCATCTGTTTACCACGAAAAAGTAAACAAAAGAAATCATTTTACAGCAGGGGGAAGTAGAGAAGGCTTGATGGATTCTGAAAAGCCTAGTAGAAATAAGCAACTCCGAGATCTCAAAGTAAAAGGTTCATCAGTTAGGTTCCCGCTCAAATCAAAAATATTTGGTAAGTTTATTGTTTATTCCTCCATATACATGTTTGTTGGCTATTTACGCTCCTAATGCATGGTAAGAACATGCTGCAGGCAAGGAGAAGACTCGTGTCAACTAACCATGCTGCTGGTGTTGGGATCAAGCTCGGTACATTCCACTGGTCATATTGAATATTATTAACATTTTCACATATTAGTATCCACCTTCTGATTAACTCATTTTTGTTTCAATATCGTAGACTCGTAGAGAGTAGAGACATCAATCCCCTTGTCCTTAAAATCAATTGTATCCCTGTATATAGCTATTCAAGTTAGGTATACTATTACACCAGATTTTGGGAATGAATTCCTTGTAATATCTTCTTGGTGTTGAATATATATGCTCTTCTTTGTAATATGAACTACTTTGATCCAAGGGTTTTTGTAACCTGTAAATGTCGTACTTGGTATAAAGGTGTCCTTTCTGCGGGAAACAAAGTAAACCGATCCCCCACCAACCCTCCATTCTGTGCACATTATAAAAAGAATAAACGAGTTTGCTGATCTTGGTTTGAGCTAGTAGGACAGCCTGTTTCAGCGTGTGAACTTATGAGCCTGAAGTCAATGAACGCTGAGTTCTTGTTGTCTCAATGTCAAATTTGGCTTGAGCTTCAATTGCTCGGAATTGCCATTGATTTTTCAGTATCTGGTATACTGTCAGGTGATTTCAAGAGGCAGGTAATTGTATACAACTACTCATTTACTGTCAGGTGATTTCAAGAGGCAGGTAATTGTATACAACTACTCATTTACTGTCAGGTGATTTCCCTGGATTTCCCTGAAATACTACTTGTATGGTTATGTAGAAGTACTCTTTCGTTTCAGCAAAAATAAGTTCAATGTCGCCAAGTTGACATTTGTCACACAGCTTCATTGCCTATAATCTAATAATCTCTACAATCATGATCTGTAATTCTGTAAATTTTAAGTCCGAACAATATACGGAGTAATTATTTCAGTTAATGATCACAGACTTTAACAGCCAACGCAATAACTAAAATTGGTTCACCAACCATATTTTCGCAAAAATCATCAAACAAATAAAAATTCACAAATTGCGTTTTAATTGTTGAAAAATTGGTGAGGAAAGTAATACTAGTACACATAGGCATTGTTGAAATAGATTGCCTTTCTGGAAATACGTTAAAGGGCAAAAAATTAAATAAAAACAAGCATATATGCAACATGAAATTACCCTAACATAAGGAAGCCACCATATTATGGAAGGGCCAAAAATCACTAGATTACTTTGTATTCAAAAGAGTAGATGACTCCACATAATAGTAACAATAGCAAAATCTCAACATGTCTGATCTCCCAACGTACACAAAAAGAAAATTAACATAGATCTCTTGAAAATTGTAACTAATGTCATCATACTAATTAACTACGACAACGAAAAAGACAGGTGCCTTGCAGCTTAGTCGAACAAGCTGAATCCCATGTCATCATCACTCTCTTCCTTGGGTTCCTCCTGAGAGGATAAAATATATCAAACATATTTAGCCAAAATTCTACAAGCATTGCCACAAGGAAAAAGCTAACAGAATAAAAAAATATATACCTTCTTCTCTTCCTTCTTCTCTTCAGCAGCAGGGGCAGCTGCAGCACCACCTGCAACGGCAGCAGCAGGGGCAGCACCTCCACCAGCACCTACATTCATGATGAGATCCTCAATGCTCCTCTTCTCAACTAGCTTGGCAAACAAATTTGGCCAGAAAGACTCGCAATCAATGCCAGCTGCTTTAACAAGAGTGGCAATCTTCTCAGACTGCAAACAAAATGGAATTCTCATGAGCACATAAAGCTATATTATACTTGAACATATGAGCACCAAAAAAAAATATCAAAAATTGCCAAGAACATATTACAAATTCACAATGCTAAACAATTTGGTAATAGAGATAACCCAAACTATAATGCATTATTCTAAAATACCTGTTTAAAATAATTTTAATTTCAATAAAGTAGGATAAAAAGACAAATATTTAGGTATAAATTTTACACCAACCAATAGATGAATTGCACTTCTAATTTACAATAAACAATCAATTAAACTGCTAGAATAACAATTTCAATCGTTACTCCTACCAACAATAGTCCATACTCCGAATATTATACCAGATTAATAGCTTCAAAGTAATCAATTATGGGGAGAACTGGAGAATAGTACTCTTGCAGCATATAAAGGAATCAGCACACTAAAGAATAGATGATTGATAATTCATTGAAACCATTACCTAGATAACAATTGGCAAAAGTCCTAGATGATTGATAATTCATTGAAACCATTACCTAGATGATTGATAATTCATTGAGAATAGTACTCTTGCGGCATATAAAGGAATCAGACGTGCTTAACGAAGACAAACAATTGGCAAAAGTCCTAGATAACAACATCAACATAACCTAAATGTTTAACTCTCGCCAACTGTTTAAAAAGTTCTTAATCCTTCTAATAGATAATAGATAGGTAATAAAATCAGCATAACCTAAATTCTAAAACCTAGTACTACTAGTCTCAACGTAAATTGTTTAACACTTTCTTAATACATACAAAGGTAGAATAAATCTTAGAATTGAATTCCTGCTTAAAGCAACCAGTTAAGAGCTCTTGCAGTATAAGAAGATCCAAACAAACAGGTAACAATGTATAACACAAAATCTCAAATTGACGAGCAAAACAAGAGAAAATACGAATACCTAACCATTATTAACTCCAAAATCATCAAACCAAAACACAGGTATAATACAATCAACAAATTGCAAAAAATTCCAATTAAATTAGCAACAAAATCATTGTAAATGAAATCAAAGTCTTCCAAATTTTAAATCTAAAAATTATTATATACACAACACGATGAATTGCGATCATAAAGCACTATCAAAATAACAAAATCAAATCGAAAAATTAGTAAATGAGCAGAACATTACAGTGACGGCGACTTCGTCGTCGTGGAGGATAAGAGCGGCGTAAGTGCAAGCGAGTTCTCCGACCGACATTGTTAATTGAGTTTTGTAACGAAAAACACAAAAATCTCTGCAAAAACAATTTCCAGAAAAATACAAAAACATGAATAAGAAGATTAATCAAAGAAACTGGAGATTAAATCGAAGAAATTGAAGAAGAGAAGAGAGAGAATTACCAAAGGAAGAAGATGAATGTTCCTGCTTGCACGCGGCTACAATGGAGAGCAACTAGGGTTTTGAAGCAAAAAGAAGTAAGTGGCTATTTATAAGATGATTTCTCAGGGTTTTGAAGCTTTTATTGCGGTAGGTCTTCTTTTGTGTTGTGGACTTTTTAAAGGGCCTTAACAAATCAGAGCCCATTAAACAAGGTTTAGGCCCATTAAAATCTTCGATGACACGTCAATTTTTTTTAATTATCCAATTAAGGTTTTTTTTTTTAACAAGAATCATTGGATGTTCTAATCATGATAAAATTTGGTTTAGCATAGGAGTATAGGACTATAGGAGAAATCTTCGATGACATGTTGCTGTTTAACTCATAAACATTTTATTAATTGAACGGTATAATAAGTTATTTTAATGATTTTGCGAGTATATGAGTAAGTGACTATTAATATATCATAACTCTGCTCATAATTTTGATTATCAGTAACGTGAGTTTAGAACCTGATGTGCATCCACACTGTTACGGTGAAAATAAATAAACATTTTATGGGTGATAATTGTACATTTGTATCCACACTGTTACACTTGTATTGTATTTGTACTCGTTGGGGCAAGGTCGCAAGGATGAGGAGAAATTTTATACTTGTTGTTATCTTATCATAAGGTTGAAAATGTTATTTGAAGATAGGATGAGGTAGAGGGAAAAAAAGGGATCAACATCTGCATCCGCCTTGCCCAAAATTACTTTAATGTCTTTAAGTACAACTTTGAAGGAACTACATTACAATGTAGAGATTAAAGATTTTGGCACTTCAAGAAGGGATCAAAGCAACTCATTCTCTAGGCTAACATTTTTGAATGATTAGTTCAATTAGTTGGAATTTATCAAGCAATTCACAACAGCATACGTTGAGTTGAAGTTAGATCCTTTGTTTGGTCACTGGTATAAGGAGACAAATCAAGGTCGAAATTCATGGCTAATTTAGAGCATAATGTTTATTTTATAAAAGTCGCTTAAAACATATAAAACACACGAGCGCACACACACACATACAAAATCAGTTGAAAATGGTTGGCTTTAAACACCAGAGAGTCGCTTATTAGGCACTCAGTGCACACAAGATGAGCTGAAGATAAATTCTTGGTTATATTGCTTCTCAGATCATTAAAAATACGAGAATTCGATGGTGGAAATTCATGTAAAAAATGCTATTGTATATGACTTCACTTTTCTTTTGTCTACTATATCTGACACATTTTCCTGAACCATGGAAGCAGGAGGATAGTAAATACAATTAAGAATAAACTAATTTAACTTTCTATTACAAATATTTAACCCTTATAATTTGATTGTAAATAAATTCATTGTTCTTTCGAAACATATTAGTAAAACAACATCAAGCATGATACATCTCAAAATTTTGATATTATTTATCCATTAAATCATGGGACTGAAAAGTTTACCACTACAATGAAATCCATTCAAAAATTTAAATCAGAAAACAAAGTAAAAATGTAAACTTGTCCAAATTCCCAAAGGCATAAATTCGAGTCTCATGTGTACAATGGCAAGGTTCAACAACCTAGCATATTAGAAGTGCTAGCTCTCTAATGCAGGCAAAGGTTGTCAGCGACAACACGTACGACCTGCCTACGATGCAACTAGGATACCTAAACTACATTACATGGCAACAAAGTCACCATGATATCCAAGTACAAATCAAAGCTACATATCGTTTGCCACAACAATGCTTCATAACTACATTACTACACGTTCATTACTTTCTGAGATGGTAAGCCAAAGTAGAGCGATTTTCACCATCCCTTATTCCCATCTCCTGATGAGAGTCACCAAAGTTAATCCATAGTAATGCAGGCCCTGTTGTTAGGCAGAAATAAGGTTCAGGGCAACGTACAATAGCTATGTTTATATGCAAATTAGATGGTGAATACTTCAGATAGCATAACGTCAAAGAAACCAGAATTCAACTACCTATGCATCATTAGTTCCAGAACAAAAAATTACCTATGCATCATTAACTCATCAAGCATGTTTACAAATGAACTATGTTTCTCAAACATAGCAAGACTCATTTATCATGAACACTTGTCCAGTTGTCCTTAGTCATTTTGCAACCCATGACTTGCAGAAAAGCAGCTTTTATGCCTGTCTACAACAGATATAGTACCAAGCTCTTATTTCAAGTCTTCTACGCCAGTCTGCTTCTACTGTAAACATGTTTACTCTCAAGATACTGCAGAAGCTGAGCTAGGGTTTCTTGGACATTATATAAACATTTAGATAGTTGTAATGCATGTCACACCCTTAACTCGGCTTTGTTGTTTGCATAGAAATAACATTACTTTTATCATCCATTAATTGATCCATCCCTAGTACTAATTCTACTACTCTGACATTCTATTTAGCAGTCAACAATACTCAGTAATATGAATAAGATGATCTATTTGATCATCAAATTGTATGTAAAATACCATTTAATAGCACTATAGGTATTTTACCTTGAATATGAGGCATTTGTCTAGAGCGGAGAAGCAGACTTTGACCTAGATCAACAACAGAAGGAAAGAAGTTTAAAAATAAAACAATGTTTTATTATAATATGCTGATTATCTAGGATCAAAATTGAAATACAGTACCTAGTTGGCTGTGCAGGGGATGCAGACCTAGATCTTGGAGCAGGTCTGGTTACATATATAATCATGTCATTCTTTGTAGACACCAGACAATGAACTTGATAAGCAAACAAGGGTGCCAAAATAGATCTGAATCGCCAATATATCATTAGCACGTTACCTTGGGCTCTTTCCTACACTCTTGCTTCTATCTCGGATAGGGGTCCTGCTTCTATCTCGGATAGGGGTCCTGCTTCTACTCCTGCTTCTGCTCCTTTGTGGACTACCCTCGTAAGCTTTTATCTGTCAAGTGGGTTTCAGAAAATAGGGAATGAAGAAGATGAATAGTGTAAAGATTCAACTATACCTTTCAGAATTAAATCAGCTCCTACAGACAAACATCCTTCATGTTAGATTAACAAGAGGCATGTGCCTAAGTGGCTACGTTTATGTTTTCTCCTTATCACATCAAGATCCACAATACATGTCCCAACCTCTCTAAGGGTAATGCATGCATAGTAAAATGAAAGCAATAACAGTCAAAAGGACATACAGTCATTGGTTATAATTTTTAACAAAGAGAATTCCTAAACCAATAGGCCAAAAACCAAAGACAAGACATTTGCTATTGACAGCAATGTGTTTTTATGGCCTGATGGCAAATAAGTAAATCGAAAATTAATCATAAAAATCTGTAATTACTACTATAGTAAAGGAAATTTACCCGAATGTAAGACTTTGAGAAAGGATTACGAAATTCAGTGTCATCTAGCTTCCGGATCTGTGTAAAATTTATCAGTGTTAAGATAGAATATCATTACTTTATTACCATTGACTATCAGAAATTCGGAATACTCTTGATACTTACAGCATATTGCATGTCCTCGTAATTAGTGTAGTCAACCATTCCCATCATACCTGAAACAATATTATTATTTCACAAATGATAGTTATCAATGAAACCTACACCTCAACAAGCACTGATTTTGGAATAATTTCTTGTTGAAGAACATAAGGATCAAATTACACATGATTGACTCATTAGAACAAATAATTTTTTTGACTGAAGCACACTATATACAGACAACAAATTTGAGCATAAGAATTTGTGGAGAAAAACTTAAGTAGACTCAAAGTGAGCAAGAACATAGCTATAAGTAATGTAATTCCTGACATTCACTCACCTTAAAATATAGCAAAGCTATTCACCTAAATACTGATCTTTTATTCTATAAATCTTTTCAGGTAGGTTAAGGAGGGTTTAAAATTATGTAAAGAGAAATAAAATAAAATAAAATAACGTATCACGCCTCAAGTCTAGACAAGGAAATAAAATCGTGATAGGATTTACACATTACATTTTACTCGGTGATCCATCATCAGCATCTAGAAATTAAGATCAAGATGTCCATTAGATAGAACTTCAGAGGTTACCCTATTTCTTTAGGAAAATTTAAGAAAAAGACAACACTGAAGGATAAACTAGAAAAAGATATAGCATACCTTCACCATCACGGAAAACTTGGGCAAAGCAGACATCCCCAGCCTTACGCATATGGTCCTACAAGACAAAGTAACAGTGAGAATCTGTGACACCAGAGCAATTAGACATTGGTGAAAAGAAAAGGAAAAAAGTCAATTTACACACCTTTAGATCTTGCCATGAAGCTGAAGGTGGCAGTCCACGCACAATTACTACATAAATAAGAACACGTGTTAACAACCCACACAGGAGAGAAATAAGTAAGGTTCAAAGATGTGGCAAACAAGTTTTTGCACAACACTAAACTTTACACTTGACCACATTACCAATGATTTTTGATATCCTCACTAAAAGTCCAAGCTATGCTGCTATCACTTCTAAACAACCCCCCCCCCCAAATTCCCAAAAGAAAGTATAGAAAGCAAAAGGATAGTATCCAAATTATTTGGTATACCTCGAAACTCAGAACGACGAGAAGCACCAAACTGCCCACCTCCACCTCCACCCCCACCACCTGCACCTACACCCCCACCACCACCACCACCACGTCGGCCAACAGGGGACCTGCCTCTACCTCCATGAGCCAACTCAACCTGAATAATGAACTACTTAGGTCTGAACATATTGAAAACGTAGCAGCAAGTAAAACATGTATGTTTATTAGGTGACATGTACCCTCAGAAGACAACCATCAAAGTTATAGCCATCACGACCCCTAATTGCTTCTTGAGCATCCCTAGGATCCTCAAACTGTAAGAAAGAAACAACAGTATAAGAAACTGCAGAATAGCGAGCTAAGGATACATCTGGGACATTGATCTGAATGCTAACACTGGGCAGGCCTCCAATAGGCCAAGGTGAGAGCCCTTTATTGGTTCCTGACCCTGGCTGATCAGCTCAACGATGTATGTATGTGAAAATGATGGGAATACCTCCACAAATGAATAGCCTGGAGGGCGTGGCGGAAGCTTCATTTCGATATCTACGATACGACCATACTGCAGTAAGAGGAAAACATATCTTAAGAATTCAGTATATATTTAAAAAAAAGCAAAGCAGATTGGTGCACATCAATGAAAATACAGTATTTCTTGAAAATAATAAAGTTTTGTTTGGGCTGGCACTGCACTTGACACGCTAGAATTCCATGCTACGAAGTACAATGAAGAGTAACAACTAATACAATGAGATAACCACAATAGAATTTGCAAAAGCTTGCACACATATGAACACAGATACAAAAGCCAAAAATAACCTGGCAGTGTCCCATTTCCCATGTGCAATATATAGAAACTAATTCAATGAGATTAACAATAGTCACTAGCAGAATAGTCAACAGAGATCTACACAGCATCAAGGTTTATCATTGAGATATCTACTGATTCAGACATTTGACTAGGATAGGAGATGCTGCACTCATATCATTGCAGCAAGAGGTACATTATCTCTTAGAATGTTAAACTTCATGCAAGAACTAGTCCATTATAACTTTTTGGTTACTATGAGAATTATAAAATCTCCCAACTAAAGGTTGTTGAATTTATATACAAAGATTACACTAGATAACTACCATGAATTCAAAATATCTGAACATATTTAAGTTGAAGATGAAAACAGAACCTTGTAAAATAGATCTTCAAGCTCCCATTCCTTTACATCCAGGGGAAGATTACCAACATAAATTGTGCGGGAGGCACGGCCAGCCATCTCTGCAATGCGTCTATTTAGCAGCAATTTCTCTACATACAACAGAAATACTTATCAATGAGGGCATAAGAGGACATTAAACACCGATCATCTAATAAAAAAAGTTTCTTCAAAAAGTAGCTTCAACAAAACAGCACAGAAAAGCAATGCCCAAACTGTGAAGCGGACCATGAGAGCAATTCTTGACGTGGATCTACACAACTTTCACTGTTTATTCTTCCAAAATGCTCCAGGATTAATATTAAATCATATAAAAATGACCCCCCATCCTCTTCATGATTCTTGCAGAGGCAAAGAAGACCTTCTAAGCATGAGCAACAATCTCCATTACCAGGAAATCCAGAAAAAGTACACTGAACTCTCCCTCTCTTTTCCTACATCCCTACATATCTTGCTCCTATTTGTCCAAGCTCCTTTCATCTATCATGAGGAAAGCTTGAGTCATCAAATGTGACAATACGGAGAATAATTCATGCATTTATCATCAGTTATTAAATACTTCATTATCAACCACAGAGAAAAATGATGTATAGCTCCACGTCAATTTCTCGTGAATATTGTTTTGTGACCAGATGCAGATTTAGATCGGGAGGCAAACACCAAGTACAGGGGACTCAAGATTTATAAGTTATTGTATACAGTTGATAGTAAATTCAATTTTGCAAGGTTTATGGTCATTTGCAATGTCACTTAGTAGTTAATGAATACCAGCATCAGCATAAGAATCAACCCAGTGCCTCTAAAAAGGCTCCTGTCCAAGGCAAAGTAAAGGGTTAGCTTAAACAGCCTTACCAAAGTAGTCAATGACCCATTAACATAATGTTAAAATAGAATGTTGAAAATAGTTATGAAGATGACTATAAGTAATGTTGCTTAGACACAAGATAGAAAAAAAAAGAGTTGATGAAAGAAGTTCAAAAAACCAACAAATAACCTTCAGCAGTAGAGACACAATGTGCATTAGGAATTTTATTCATTAAAAATAATGTGTGAATGTCAAGGTGCTTCAAAAATAAAGGCCCAAGAACATAATTTGAATTGATTAATGATCCTTAAATAAAATTCCAGTTTCTCATAAGCAAGCATGCTCTATCGAAGCTGCTTAAGTTTGAGCTTTATAGGGAATATGCATAAGAATAATGTATATTTTACCATAAACAAATTAAAGGTGGAATTATTCTCATTAGCACAATTTAGAATTCAATTACAAAACTACAACAGCAGCAAAGCCTTATTGTTGTCAGCTAACTAGCTAAGTGATGACTGCAAGACATTCTTACAATGAGAGCATTAAAGTGTTCATGGGTAAGTAGCAAAAGCCCTAAAATTCTAGCTTCCTAGCATAGTCAGCTTAAAATTTGTGATCAACTCATGAACCTCGTCAATAAGTAACGAATTGCATGTTGTATGATGACACTTTTTCACAAAAAAGCAAGCAATATCTAACACAACACAGCTTATTTGCAACAGTACAAGAATGATAGCATGAAATTTGTATTCACAAAGTTGTCAATTGTCACCATCTTTCGTTGAAGATATTCATTTCCACTAGCACACGAATAATAAATCGAAACTTTGATTTGGCTATAGCCATTGTCACCTTCAAAATGCTCCCAGGATTTGAGCCCATAGCGCCAACTCAACAGTAATACATATGAAGTGCAAAAAAAACATGTAGCAAACAAACAATTCCAAACCACAAAATAAAATGAAAAAATGGATGAAAAGTACAATCCATCCAAAAACTACCTTATAATTGAACGAACAAGCCAATGTCGGATCTATAAATCAACCCATTTCTGGGAAATTAATCCCTTATACGGGATTATCGTTGACTGCTTAGTAACTTAATCAAAACAAAGGCCTGCAATCTCAACATTCCACGCATTTACCAATTCAATTTCTGGGTAAAATTACTACTACAACCAAATTTAAAACCCATATAAACAACTTCAAATTCTTCCCGAGTTTAAACATATACAGACATAAAGTTAACGCTAATCTGTAAACCCCAGAAATTAAAAAATCAAGAATCACCATTGCACTGATATACCAAGACTAAATACTGGCAATAAACAAAAAATAACTCAAAAATTAAAACTTCAATTCAGATAAACAACAAAAAAAACAAAATAAATAACAAATAAGAGACAATAAAAAGATCTGGGTGATGAAGTTACTTGTTAATGAGGTAAAAAGCGAAGTTGAAAATCAGTTGAGTTTGCAAAATCTTCGTCTTCTTGTTCAAGTGTTCTGGTATTGCAGCTTAAAGCAAAACAGAGAGAATAGAGGTTTAAAGAAAAAGGGAAAAAGCCCAGGTAAAAATGTAGAGTATATCAGTCTATTGTGTTTGTGTACCCTAAAACTGAAAATGAAAGTGAAATTAAATCGTGCGACACATAATTAATGGCAAAGATGATAAATTTTTTTTTTATTTTTTTCAAAAAAGAAAATGGGGATTGGATACTTTGGAGGAGGTTTGAAGTTAAGTAGTGATGAAACGTGGCAACAGCCAGTAAGCTGTTGGTTTTAGTAAAGGAACTTGAATTCTCTTGGCATGTCATTCTACTCGTTGCTTACTGTCTCGAGATGGGAGAGTTTTTTATTTTATTTTTTTATTTTTATTTTTTTTTGGTTTTTCAAACTTGACCGTGGGGTTAGAGGTCTTAGAGTTTGAACAAGACTTCAACTACGGTAGTACTTGTACGAATAGTAAATAATATGGTTGTTTGGTGGATGAATAAAATGGGTATCGAGTACATTCGAGTGTATATATATCATATATTTATTCTACAATGACTAGCTACATGTACATGTAGTTTTGGATTGCAACATCATACATAAAAAAAAAAATAAAAAAAAAAATAAAAAATACATAAAAAACATTAAACAAATCAATATATGTGTATTGGGTTGAGTGAAACTATATAGCTCTGTGTAGTTTGGCCTTAGCTACAACCTATGTAGCTCCACAATGGCTAGCATATAGCTTTAATTATTTAGAATTTGCAAGCAAGTCCTTTTATGCAACCATTGTGGATGCTCTTATAATATACTTCTTGCATTTCTATTTAGTTGACGCATTCAATTTAGACACACATATTAAGAAGAGGAGAGAGAATGATAAAGCAAGTGGGGTACACTAATAAATGCAAGGTAAAAAAACTTACCCAAAAAGGAAACGTATCAACTAAAAATAAACTTCCTAAAAAAAATACGTGTCAACTAAAAAAAACGGAGGTAAAGTATATGATTCAGGTGTTACATTTATGTTATGTTTATAATAAAGTAAAATATGAGTGTATGTAATTTGTAGCATTAGCAAATGTGTAATATTGAGTCGCTGTAATTATTATGACATATTATTGCCACATTAGTCTATACATTTTAAGTGTATTTAAAATGCATGTTGATTTGGATATTTGATGGGGGATGTGAATCAAATGTATGTTAATTCAATTGTCGCTCTATTGGTGCCCGAAATCGATCGTCGCACGAGATCTAAATAATTGCCAGTAAAAGAAAAGGTTACCGTTATAGCGGCATTAGGGAATAGCTCCTTAGCGTCAGCTGCTAGAGTATCCTTAAACAAATTGGCACGGATTTTTCCATTGTGACTATCTTGATACCCTAAAATATACACATTTGTGACATTTATTCCCAAGGAGACCTCTTTGCTGTTAGTTTTGAGCTTCACCCACACATACATCGCACCTTTTGCTGGATTATTTGGCGTTGTCTGTATCTCACATGTTTTCGCTGAGCTAGCGAGCTGATTTCACACTTGGGTTATGAAGTCTGAGTACTTGATTTCATAAAATTCAAATGCGACAGTACTTAAGCACACAGTTGGATGAATAAAAAAAGGACGCCATAACCAGCATTATCATGCACCACTAGATACATTTTGCGGCTCTTGACAACTCCATGAGTAGCTCTTTTAAGCCTTATTTGGTTGGCATAGGAAATAAATTCCCATGTAAAGTTCTAATACATGGGAAATTATTTCCCTATGAAATTTCTAGGAATTAATTTTGTTTGTTTGTCAAATGGAAATTTGTAAATCATGGGAATTGTGAATGACCAAGAGTGGGGTGGGTAAATAAATTCTCATGTTTTGCGGGAAATGAAAATCCCCATGAGCTGTGATTTCCTCCATTTTTACTTTATAATGTCAACTAAACAACATGGCCAAAACGAAATTCATGGGAAATTTGATTGCCTATGGAAATCAAGGGCAATCAAACAATACCTTAGTGTAGATGTAAGAAATGTATTTTTTAGGTTTTTTTTTTCTTTTTTTTTTTTTTTTTGTGTGCACGCACGTGTAAAATGCTTATACATACAACGTAAAATAACTAAATAGGCTGGCCTATATATACAAGCTACAATGAAATATGAACTATGTTGCAAGCCATAATCAAAAAAGAAAGAAGGATCATCTTGTCAGATAGTACGTGGACCACTAGTCATTCATTTGAAACTATCACTACTAATAGGGGAATATTATCCATAATTAGGGATCATAATATTATTATAGTGGACTAATTTACTGTTCTGGTAATCCCATTGTATGGAAGATCTTCTTTAATTAATTCTTACTCGCTCATAATAGGAGAATATTATATTCACAATTTTTTGAGTGCACGCAGCAACGTACGGTATGTGACATGAGAATCCACCTTCTTTTCAACGATCGATATGTGTTGAAAATGACGATGAATAAGGTGAGAATGTGTAGGTTTTTTAAAGGGAATAAATTAAGGAAGTTGTGAGTGATGGTGGTTAATGAGTTGGAGATTGAGTGTTGCATGCCATTGTTGGTAATCTCATCAATGATTAATTTGTAATTTCGCACAGTTTCATTCATTCCGCCACTTTGGAGTTTAGATTGTTTGACACTAACAAGTAGTTTTGTCAAGAAGTTAGTATCATAGGCTATGGGTATACGAAAAACATTTGACAATACTCGGCCACTTAGGGCATATTTCAAAGAGTTGAAAATAAATAAACTAAATTCAAAAATTCTACTATGGTCATCCTTAAAATGACCATGACTATTCTTAAATCATATTGGTTGATATTTCCTTTTTTTTTTGAATTGCTTGGTCAAACCTTTTTTTATCTTTTTTTTTCTTTCTATTTTTAATTCTTTTTCTTTTTTCCAAAAAATAATTTCTGATTTTTTGAAAATCTTATTTTTATTTTCATAATTATTTTATTAAAATCACTTTTTAAGTTTTATTTTATTTTGATGACATTATGATTTTAATTAAAAAGTGATTTTAATCAGTGGCGGATCTTAAACTAAAAGGTATATATGGGGGCCAAGTTTTGAACTTTAATAAATTCTAATTAAAATTATAGATATCTAACTATTAACAAAATACAATAATCTGACCGAAGTCAAGTTTAAAGCAATGAAGTCAATTGACCCCACTTAACTTTTTTGTTACATACAATTAAAATATGATAATTAAATAATTAATCACTATAAGGAAACAATATGCGAGTTTGATTAAAAATATTAATTTACACAAACTTATATGGGTCAATAGATGCAAACAACATAGTACGACACATGTACAATATATGTACAAAAATAATGTAATTTAAAAATACGTACCATTTTGGATTTGGAGTTGATAAATTGTGAGTTATGAAATCCGAGTAAATTTGTAATATTATGATTCGAGCTTAAAAATTTAAATTCTCGATAAAAATAACTTTAAATTTTTATTTTTTTTAAAAAAATAAGTAGTAAAAGTATCTATGTTAGATTAATTGATTTTCATTTATTTGAACTCACTTGAAAAGTTGCTTGATTTGTCACTTGACATAATATTTTTATCACGTACGTCTAGAAACTCTTACAAAAATTATAGGGGACGAATCCCTATGAGCCCCAATGAAGATCCTCCCCTAATTTTAATAAGATAATTATGATAATAAAATAAGATTTTCGAAAAATCAAAATTTATTTTTGGAAAAAAGAAAAAGAAGTAAAAATAGAAAAAAAAATACAAAAGAGGTTTGACCAAGCATTTAAAGGAAAAAAAAAAATAAAATCAACCAATAGAATTTAAGAATAGTCGTGGTGTTTTTAAGGATAACCATAGTAGAAACATCCACATATTTATTTGTTTCTTTGTTTTATTTCACACTTTTACTTTTATTTTAATTAAGACCTGTTAATTGCAATCACATTAAAGTCAGATAATTTTGAACTGACCGGATTTAGATTCCTTGAATCAAATTAATTTCAAGTGGTCACTCAAATTAGACTTTGTGTGCATTAATTCAAACATGCCTAGTAATAATAATTACTTGCTTTCTAGGGCTTAATTTGGAAATATTTATGTTGTTCAAATGTTATAACGATGAAATAGCATATGAAATCAAGTAAAGGCCGCTCGATGCGGGGGGCTTTGCGCACTACTTAGCCCTTACCCTCGTCCCCGAATCCATGATCTGGTGCACGACATAACTATGGATTCGTTATATTAGCCTTCGAGCTTGATGATCGGGTTTCGTGAGCTTCCCTTAAAAGCTCGGTGGCGACTCCTCTACTTAAGTTTCTATATATACTCACAATGCCAAAGCACACTCACAACGTGCTATCAACAAGTATTCAATAACTTGTGCGTAGGCCCTATTCCATGGTGCCTACACCCGATCCACTGGGGAGGATTACTTAAGGAATTACTATTCCTAAGCTGTTGGTTTTAGTAAAGGAACTTCAATTCTTTTGGCATGTAGTTCATTTTTTTTTTTTTAGTTTTTCAAACTTGACCGTGGGGTTAGAGGTCTTGGAGTTTGAAGAAGACTTCAAGTTCAACTATGTAGTACTTGTAGTAAATTTTATGGTTGTTTGGTGGATGAATAAATGGATATGGAGTACATTCGAGTATACATGTGTGATTCGAGTGTTACGTTTATGGTATGTTTATAAGTGAGTTATATCATTAAAGGATGATGCATATAGGTAGTAGAACATGTGTTACTCATATGTCGGAGTACATTTTAGTTTGTGTTACTTTTAACTTTATCTTAGAGTGTTTTTAATATAATATACATCGTACAATGTGTTAGATTTTACTTATTGACTGATATGGAATGCAATGAGTAATTACAACTATGATTCTGGTAATATATTAAAAGTTTGAATCTTATTAATTGAGGGTGTTTGGGGAGGTAGGGTTCTATTTACCTCATTTATTTGATTATGGTAGTTAAATAATGATTTAGGCAATGAGTATATAGTATATCTATATCGGTATATGATATTGATGTTGCAATGGCAACAAGGCCATCTACACATAGGCTTACATAAAAAGGATCTTTATTTGAAGACATGATAGCTCTGCTACTCGTCAACACAAACAAGTCTCATACAAAATCTATCTTAAAACCCTCCTTTAACAAAATTTACCTATAATTTGTCACTTTACTTAATGAATACAGCAAAGGTAACAAAATAAACAAAACAATTATCAGACTCGATAGATTTAGGTTTCAAGAAGTGAAATTTGATTCTAATTGAAATTCATACTATATATTAAAAAAAACATTCTCAGACAAGCTTTGTTGTTACATGAATCTTTATGAATTTTATAAGATTTAAAACTACAATTTCAAATTCAAAAACTAAGGCCTTGTTCTTTTGAGCTTCTGAGCAGAGCAGAGCAGATTTCAACAAAGCAGAGTAGGTGTCAGCAGAACAGAGCAGACTATTAATACTAAGCAGAGCAAGGCTCAACAGAGCAGACCACATCAGCTTAAAATAACAGAGCCTAAAGTGTCAACCACTAAGCCAATAACCATATAACATACTTCATATTATTCATCATAAATTAAAAATAAGGATTTTAATTATATAAGGCATCACCAGAGCCCAAATTAGCTAGAGTTAAAAAATCTAATGATAATTCAATTAGCTAATTTGTGTTGTTTATTATAGGGCAAAAAAAATAAAACCTATAAACAAATAGTAAAATTGTTTTAGTTTGATAGAACACGTTATAGCCTTGAAGTTGCTATTGGCCAGGCCGAACAGGGCTTTTGTCCAATTAGTGGTCAGTTTAAACTCTATTAATTATTAGGATGGGCTTAATATATAGGCCTAATTTGAGGTTTCAGGCATATGACAAAACTTTAAAGATTGAGCCCAAAATTTGAAATTTTGTTTCTCAAAATTAGGACCAAAAAACAATACTTGGACTTATTGGTTGGGCCTAAAAAGTATTCATTCTTGCCTTTTGATTTTGATAAAAAAATTCTTTTGGTAAGACAATTGGGGGGTATTATTCTATTCCAGATTTATACCAAGTACGGAAGTATATCCCAAACTAATTAAGGTATGGGATAAGATTTATTTATTTATTTAAATTTTTTTTTATTTTTTTTAATATTTAATTTTTTATTTTTTTACGACCAATTAGAAACTAATTTATTTTGTATACTTGGATACAGTAACATTGGGCTTTACTTTGAATATTGGTGTGGTTGATGAGAAAATCCGTGAATTGAAAAACTTATTAGTAATCATTTATGATGTTTTATTGTTTTTTATGCAACAACTAAATTATGGTTCAATCAGTGTAAAATTCGAGTTAAATTTTTTACTATAATATATCCCTCAACTGTTGGTGTTGTAAATAACTATTATAATTACGAAAACAAAATGAAGACATGTGTATACTACTATATCGGTTGTGTCTATCAAGAATTAAAAATACATCTCTAAATAGATTTATAATCTCCTAGTAAATTAGAAATCTAGCTCCATTTAAAGGTGTCTTATTTGTCAAATTATAAGATAGAACGTACAAATTAAAAGGAACATGATGAATAATAATGATATGGTAACGTTTAAAAAGCAAAGAAAATGGGTAGTATCTCACATGTTAGCTGACCAAAATTCAAATGATGGCAAACGGTTATACATTTAGAAGAAGTGAAACTTAAGAAATTTGGTATGAGCTACAGCTAGCTTTGCCATTTGTAGTGCTTAAAAAGGAGCTCAGTCAAGTTGGTGAAATCCTTACCAATTCAATTTTGAGTGCAATCGTGCCAATTACCCGCAATCATAGCCATTGATAAAAATTTAAAAACTACTTGTAGTAAAAATAGTAACATTAACGATTACCAAACGGCCAAAAATTATGCATATGTCCATGTGCATCGAATTTTCGTATAGGTAAAATGATATGCACACATCATTTAACATTCGATACTTGATGTGTCGGATTTTGGTACTTTGACACGAGCCTGTAAAAAAAGTTATACATGAACTGTATATATTGTGTTGTGATACTATATGCTTTGGATTCTTACATACCTTTACTTTCCCTTTTTACACTAGAAACCTCTTTGTCAAGTGTGGTAGGAATCCTATGGAATAATGACCATTACATATGATGTAGACTTGCATGCTCAACTTAGAGATCGATCATGAAAATTTTACATTTTATTTTAAAGATCCCTTGGATACCAATTTCATTCTACAGGTAGCTCCTTAAAAAGGAGACAAAGACTAGACCAAAGTCATACATGAAGACAGATTAATTATCCTACAACAAGAAAAAAGGAAGTCAAGTTTTACAGCCAAATTAAAAAGGTGTTTCATGTACTCGTATACTTTGTATGTAAATGAGAGTCTCAGACAGTTAACATCTTTTCTCTTTTATGTTCTTGTATAATAACTTTGTATTCTTCTTCAATTAAAACTGCTTTAGGGCATCGGGATTAAGGATGAGAACAAAATGTAGGTGCGTGGGTGTAATGAGTAAACCTCAACTAACTTTTGAAAAAAATAAATAAAAAAGAACGATAATATTACTCGTACATATGAATAAATATTTCAATCATATGCTAATACGACAAAGTGTGTATTAATTATGAATAATACAAATTAGATTTGAACGAACAAAAGAATTGCTACAAGAATTTAAAGTAGGACAAACCATCCAAGCTAGTCCTTTTTTTTTTCTTCTTCTGGAATTAACAATACAATTGGATCAATCAAGGACCTAAATGGCCCTTCATTGGTTACCCTGACTATTTGGCAAGGAGTTTGAGCCCTATCTCCCCCTCCCAATTCCACCTATCAATAAAATAATTAAAACCAACAAATTCTTGGCTCAAAAGTCATAAAACCAACCTTTTGAACCAAATATTAAAAATTCTGCTCCTACCATATGAACAAGATTGTGCCCTAGAGATGCTGTATGCATTCCATGGCATATATAGGAGTATCCAAGGTAGAAACCAATGCCAATATGTGGTTCCAACCTCATTAAAATATGCTCAAAAAAAAAAAAAAAAAATTAACCAATATAATTTCCTCCTAATCATCCTTCCTAATGCTCCTAAATGACTCCTACAACTAACTATATTCCTAAAAATGAAACATGTATGATAACGAAATGCCGATGTGTAACAATACTAGCTATTGATCAGTAGAGTGATCACGCACAATGATGTTAGATGATCAACCTCCGATCATACATTTTTGAAGCCCTTGTTGCCGCGCATATCATCACTAATGGGTAATGGCTTTGTCGTGGATCAAGTAATAATATCCTCAGTTTGACATTTTAAGAAATGTGTTGGTGTTTATAACATTGGACAACTGCTAGGTAGATGAACTTTGTTCAGTAGTTGCTCCAGTGGTTATGGATTGAGGATGGCCTGCAGATACAACCGGTACCCCTACTGTCGTGGTCACACCTGCACCCAACATTATAAGTTGAGATATTACTCCGTACTACTTAATCCTATATCAACATAAAATAATTAATATAAAGTTAAAAGTTATGAAAATAATTAGTTAAGATTAAATAATAACGGGTTAAATGTCTATATTACCTGTACTTAAGTCTAATTAAGTCATTAGGGACGCTTTGTTCCCATATGTTCTTATTCTACCGATCTAGTTACTTTAGACAAATAGACTTTTTCAAAAGATGAAAAAATGACCTAAGCTTAATACTCGGGACCAAAGTAAAAAATAAGCTAACATTGACCATTTAGGCAGGGCATAAACATCATTTCATACTCCATATATTTTTAGCTCTCTAAAGTACAGAATGCACAACAAATGATGTGGAGCCACCTAAATTTCCAAATGTACCCATTTGACCGGTAGTTCCATGTGAAGATGAAGATGTATGAAGATGTATGAAGGTAAACAACCATAACAATTAAAATCGTAATCGATCCCAAAGATAAGGTCGACTATCTATGAAAGATGTAAATATGATGAAAATAATATTTACTACGTACCTGCGGAAGTAGTAGTCGTAGGCAAAGCCATAGTTGAAGAGGGAAGTGATAAGATCCCGGTGGAGTTGAGATGCTGGGGTAATATAGGGTACTGTTGTACCATCTGATGATATTGGACCCCAAAGCCATGACCTTGGCTACTTTGGGTATACGGCCCATAATATGGGTAATAGTTGGGAAAGTACCCTATTGCCCCTGAACCTCCTCCTCCGGTTGTTGGGTAGTAAGGTGTAAATTGTTGTCCATATACACCATAGTAATTCTATGAGTCATAAGATTACATTAAAATTTGACAAATAAAATAAAAGTGAAAGAAATTACATATAATATAACAATGCATGCAGCTAGTACTTACCATATGATGGTACATTGTATCATGTGCATACCCAGTGAATCTGCAAATAATCAATGACAAAAAAACAAAGTGAAACATATTGGATCAATAAATTTTGAAAATTGATCTAGGACAACAAATTAAAACCACAAAATATCATAGTACATTGCAGTAAATCACTAGGTAATTCAAGTTATCTATGTAGACCAATTGAATATCTCTCGTGCAATCGTTGTATATCATAGTGAATCACTAAGTCCCGTGTTTGTGTACTACGAAGTGTACAATAGTAGTTAGGGATTTTGAATAGCAGCATGTGGAATGGTAGACACTCCAGGTTTGCTAGAAATTATATTTTGTAAAAATGAAAAAAAGAAAAGAAATTGAATTAGACAGACTCCAATAGTGGTAACTTTAAAGAAAACAGCATTTGCCCATTCACATCAATACCTCCCTCTTGATTCTCTCTCCCTTTCTGTGCAGCAACACTTTGCCAGCCATAATGCAGTCAAATACAGTAGTTTGGGTCTTTGACCAATTTTTTTTAATAAAAAATGATAAAAAAAAAAGTTGCATGCCAGGGTATTTTTATTGAGGTATCTGGAAATGGGGGCTGTGGTATTTTTATTTTGATCTTTTATTTACCCAATAACAAGCCATAACAACTACTTCGTACAATGCAGCTACTATACAATTAACTTTTTTGTTAATATTCTCTTCATTTCATTAAGATTTTTCTGTTTAATAAAAATGGATTTTTCCCGTGGAAAGATTAGAAGCATAAAACTAATAAGAATAATACTATAACAAAGTAATTAACATAATTACTCACCCATAAGCTGAATAAGGGTAGGGTGGTTGGGCAGAAGGCTGATGAAAGTATGGTGATGAAGATGAACCTGGATAAGCAGGTGCATTCATTAAACCTGATGATGGTCTAAACCTTCCTCCTCCTGCAACTGTATTCGACGAATTTAAACCAAATCCAACCAAACCAAACCGGAAAAAAACATTGATTAAACTAAAGTAAAATTCTTACAAATTTCTTCCATGCATGCTCTAAAATCTAAATAAAAACCAAAAGGTTCAGTTAATCTAATCATGATCATTATATCATCACATGGAATTATGTTAATCATGTTTAACAAAAAGTTAAATACTGTACAATGCAATAGTAACAGTCTTAAACAGTTAAATTCTTCAACGTTTACTTCCTAGAACTCCATTATTATATACTTATCTATATAGGTCTATATTATTATGCAAACATTCTCATTGTATATAATAATAATAATAATCCGTAGTATATGTGTGCACATGTATTGTGGTCCAAAATTATATGATGCCCTTTTTTATGCAGTTAAGTTTGCATTGAAATTGGTCAAAATCATCCAACCAAACCCACTTCAACTTCAAATTAAGAGAGAGAAAATAATATCGTTACAAAAAAAAAAAAAAAAAAAAAAAAAATGCAAACCATGTTGAGGAGTTGGTGGGCGATTCTTCTGAGCACCAAGAGAAGCAAGATTGCAATTTGCTCTTCTTCCATCAATAACCGGTGATGGATTTTGACAAGCCCTAAACGCAGCCTCCGGCTCTTTAAACGTCACCTAAAATTAAACAAACACAATCTTTCTATCATATACGAGTGAGTATTCCCAACAAATAAAACAATCTATGACTTATTATCCTAACTCTCGGTTCAGATTTAGTTGTCACATTTCTAGTTCAAATTACGAGTACTAATCGAAAAAATAAAAGAATGAATCATTGAAAGAAAAAGGGGAATCTTACAAAGCCGTAGCCTTTAGATCTTCCAGTAGACTTATCAGTGATGACGACTGCTTCCAAGATCTCTCCAAATTGCTCGAAATATTTTCTCATGGTTTCTCTTTGAGTTTCCCAAGCTAAACCACCCACGAATATTTTTGTATAAGTTGTATCATTATTCATCCATTGCGAACCTCCTCCGTAATTATTATTATAATTTCCTCCCATCATATGAAATTGCCTTTGTTGTTGAGACATAATAACAATTCAAAAGAATACAAAACCCTTGAAAAAATATTAGTACAAATAAATAAATAAATAAGTATAGAGCGGGGTGGGTTGATGCTACCGATTGTTATGAGAATCAGGGTTGAGATTCCATAAAAACGATGAAGTAATTGAAGTTGTTAATGAAAAAATCATTACTGTTGTTGTAGACTTGTAGTTGATGGAGGAAGCTAAAAGAGGGTTAGAGAGGAGAAGAGAGAAAGAGGAAAAATAAAAGAGGAATAATAAAGAGTATTTATATAAGGAAATATAAAATATGGACAGAGAGATATGCGGAGGGGGTAGGGGGGTGTGCGCACTATGTGTTATCGAGATAATGCCTAGCTGGAAATTGAAAACTGTTCAAGAGAGAGAAAGACAAGAAAGCTACTAATGACTAGTGAGATGGGATTATATTATGAGATCCCACAACAATTGGGGTTCACCTAAAGCCTAAAGGGTGTTTGTCTAATGACATTTTTTAAGTCTCTTATATATAAATCGGGCTTATAATTATTTTCTTCTGAATCAACAAGCTAAGAGTTGACTCAAGTGGTAAGCAGTTTGATGTTGCTTAAGGGAAGTCTCGAGTTCGAGCTCACTAAATGCATGCAGAAAACTCTTGTTAGGAGACTCACCCACCATAAGCCAGGTGTGCAACCTGAGTCGAATCCAAATGTAATTGGAGCTAAGCTCCGGTAAACCGGGTGGGACATATTAAAAAATAAAATAAAATTAGGAGTATTATTTTTTTGAGACTAAAATTATTTTGATGATTTTACTTTTTTTTGAATTATACGAACTCTTTGACTACTTAGTAACTTCAATTTATTTGGTAAATTATTGTAAGTTTGTTACAATTTATATTTTTTTTTACAATTGATGAGGAGTGCTTGAGAATAGTTTTTAGCCCTTTTGATTATTTTTTTAGGTGTTTTAAAATTTTTGAAAAAAAAAAAGTTATACGGGTATATTGGAAAGAAAATTTAAAAAATAAAAATCATACAAAGTAGAATATATTTTTTTTGGGAAAATAATAGACCTTTAGGGTTTTTTAATTTAGCCTATTTGCCTATATATGTGAATTACAAATCTTTGCTATCTTCTAGGGTTTTTAACTCATTTTTTATGGGAAATCATCTAGCTTGTCAAGAGAAGGGAAAGTACAACTTCTAGGGTGTACAAAGTAGTGTTCACTCAGGTTTATTACATACATGTGAAATACATCACACATTCACACTCATTTTAGTAATATGAACAAACAAGCGAAATAATATACTGAGAAAATGTTTTTCTTTTGAAGATAACGACAAACTCAAGAAAAAGTCTAGCTAAACAACTATCCTTTATATATACTCTTATCACTTGTATGTCAACTAGTGATATGAGGTCACTTAAGAATAGTCTTGTACTATCTAATTACGAAGTACATACTCATATAAGTTTAAAGAAGTCCTCTTCATATTTGCTTTTATCGATCAACAATTTAAACCCCAACTTTTTTGTACAAATTTATAGACCACGAAAGCTGCGTAAAGGCGTAAGGAGGGGTCTTTTGCTTCGCTGTATTCAAACTTCTCCCCTAATTTTTCTTTTTTCTTTTTCTAATGTTCTAATAGACGTAATAATAATAATAATAATAATAATAATAATAATAATAATAATAATAATAATAATAATAATAATAATAATAATAATAATAATAATAATAATAATAATAATAATAGTATAATGTTCTATTTTGGGGTTGGGTCAGACGATGAACGCAAAGACTTACTGGTGTGTGTTGTGCTACCGCTTGGGTGTTCCGTTGTTCTCTGCCTCGACGCCGTGCTCTGCTTGTTCAAGGGTTTTTAGTGGGGATTGTTTCGGTGATCACGCGGTGTCGTGGTGTCGTGTGTTGGTATAATGAGTTTTAAACATTGGCATAATGTTGTGCGGGATACCCTTGTTGATGTTTGTTATCGATCTGGGATTTCAGCTAGAAAGGAGGTTGACATTGGGTTGTCTGGAGGGAACGACGGGGCCCTCAGATCTGCAGATGTGTTACTTTATTCTTGGGATCGTGGTCGCGATGTCTGTGTTGACTTGACAGGGTCTTCTCCTTTGACGCACTTTGGGTTATCTGGCTTTGTTCCTGGACGGGTTGTGGCTGATGCAGTTTGTCGGAAGCGGGTCAAGTACGAATCTAGTTGTTGGGCAATTGGATATGGCTTCCTTCCTTTCTCTTTCTCTACATTTGGGGAATTAGAAATGGAGGCGGTTGCTTTGTTGAAGCGGATTCAGAAGTACTTGAAGACTCAAGACATTGAAGCACGTGTTGCTGCTCATATCTTCACTAGAATAGGATTTGCTATAACTAGAGAAGTGGGGGCCCAGATTGTATCTCGGTTTTCCACTAATTTTTTGTAGGTTGTATGACTTTGTCTTTTTTGAGATAATAATAATAATAATAATAATTTTTAATTTTTATTTTTCTTTTTTATGCTTTTCCTTGCTTCTCGGTTACAGTATGCTCCATTGTAGACACAAATTCTACGGCATGATGGCATTGTTGATCTTGGACGAGCCTTTCAGGATGTGTTGCGTTTGTTTAATGGAACGGTGGAGTCTGACATCTTGAGTAATCCTAGTGAGGTCGCTGCCCCTAAACTCATGAAAAAATTGGCAGATATATATTTCACAAAGGTTACCGTTTCTGTAGAATCCGCCTATTCTTTAACTCCTCGACAATCAGCATTGTGGAAATCACAGCAGGGAGATCACACCTCTGCTTGGCTTCGGGCGGTCCCTATTTCAGGGTTGGGTCAGACGATGAACGCCAAGACTTACCGATGTGTGCTGTGCTACCGGTTGGGTGTTCCATTGTTCTCTATCACGACGCCGTAATTTTCTTGTTCAAGGGTTTTTACTGGGGATATTTTCGGTGATCACGCGATGTCTTGTGTTGTATTGTGGGCATTAAACATCGGTATAATGTTACATTGTTCGGGATACCCTTATTGATGTTTGCTATCGGTCAGGGATTTCAGCTAGAAAGGAGGTGGACATTGGATTGTTTGGAGGGAACGACGGACCCTCAGACCTGCAGATGTGTTACTTTATTCCTGAGATCATGGTCGCGATGTTTGTGTTAACTTGACAGGGTCTTCTCCTTTGACACAGTCTAAGCTATCTGACTTTGTTCCTGGACAAGTTGTGGCTGATGCGGCCCATCGGAAGCGGGTCAAGTACGAATCCAGTTGTCGAGGAATTGGATATGGCTTCTTTCCTTTCTCCTTCTCTTCACTTGGGGAATTAGAAAAGGAGGTTGTTGCATTGCTGAAGCGGATCCAAAAGTTCTCGAAGACTCAGGACATTGGGGCACATGTTGCTGCTCATATCTTCACTAGAATAGGTTTTTCTATAGCTAGAGGGGTGGGGGCCCAGATTGTATCTCGGCTTCTCACTAATTTTTTGTAGGTTGTATGACTTTGTCTATTTTTGAGATTAATCATAATAATTTTGCTTAGTGGTCCAGCTAGTTCTGATCCCGGTTTTGGAGGTGACCTGGTGATGCAGAGGGTAACCAAGACCGTTGCTCTTATGGATAAGGTGGCTTCGCTTGATGATCCCCAGTGTGAGTTGTTGTTACTTAGGGCTTGTACCGGAGTTTCTAAACTCTACTTTGCTTTGCGTACTTGTCCCCCTAGTACTTTTGAGGTGGCTCAGCGCGCTTTCGACGAGGCTCTTCGATCTTCCTTGGAGCGTATCGTTACTGCTTCCGGGCCTGGGTTTGGTGATTGGCAGTGGCGGCTTGCTACCTTACCGTTTGCGTTTGGCGGACTTGGTGTTTATTCTGCAGGTGATGTTCGTCATTATGCCTATCTTGCCTCTCGGTTGCAGTCTGCTGGATTGCAGACTAAGCTTCTATAGCATGCTAGTGTTGTTGGCCTTGGTCGAGCCTTCAAGGATGCGTTGCTCCTTTATAATGGAGTGGTTGAGTCTGACATTTTGAGTAATCCTAGTGAGGTCGCTGCCCCTAAACTCATGAAGAAATTGGCAGATATATATTTCACAAAGATTACCGCTTCTGCAGAGTCTACCTTCTCTTTATCTCCTCACCAATTAGCTTTGTGGAAATCGCAGCAAGGAGTTCACATCTCTGCTTGGCTACGGGCTGTCCCTATTTCTGGGTTAGGTCAGACGATGAACGCGAAGACATATCGATGTGTGCTGTGTTACTGACTGGGTGTTCCATTGTTCTCTGTCTCGACGCCGTGCTCCGCTTGTTCTCGGGTTTTTTCAGGGGATTTTTTCGGCGACCACGCTGTGTCGTGTGCTGGCATTGTGGGTGTTAAACATCGCCATAATGTTGTTCGGGATACCTTTGTGGATATTTGCTACAGATATGGTATTTCAGCAAGAAAGGAGGTTGATGTAGGATTGGCTGGAGGAAACGACGGGGCCCTCAGACCTGCTGATGTGTTACTTTACTCATGGAATCGTGGTCGTGATGTATGTGTTGACTTCACAGGTTCTTCCCCTTTGACGCAGTCAGGGCTAGCTGACTTTGTCCCTGGACGGGTTGTGGCTGAAGCGGCACATCGAAAGCGGGCTAAGTACGAAGCTCGTTGTCAGGCAAATGGATACGATTTCATTCCCTTCTCCTTTTCTTCTCTTGGGGAATTAGAAAAGGATGTTGTTACGTTACTGAAGCGGGTTCAGAGGTTCTTGACGGCGCAAGACATTGGGGCTCGTGCGACTGCTTTTATCTTCACTAGGGTAGGCTTTTCTATAGCTAGAGGAGTGGGAGGCCAGATTGTATCTCGGCTTCCCACTAATTTATTGTAGGTTGTATGACTTTTTGTTTTTGAGATAATAATAATAATAATAATAATAATAATAATAATAATAATAATAATAATAATAAAATAAAATAAATAATAATAATAATAAAATAATAATAATAATAATAATAATAATAATAATAATAATAAAATAATAATAATAATAATAATAATAATAATAATAATAATAATAATAATAATAATAATAATAATATGATCTGTTAATGCCATTTTTTTTTTTTGGGTTTATGGTTATTAGTAATAATACGTAGCTAATTATAAAATCACTCCCATTAGGCCATTATAGTATGGTGGTTGGAGTTTTTATTTTTATTCTTTTGTATGTGGTATTAACGATAATATACAGTAATCACTCCCATTATAATTACATTAAAATAAAATAAAAGCACAAATAATGAATACCTTAATTAACCACCCTGAGTATATGATTATAGTGCAGCACAACAGTGGGAGGTTCCATTAACAGAAAAAGTACAGGAGAGATGGGCCAGGTTGGTATATGATATTTGAAAGTTGACACTCTGATA